GTGCTCTCTCTCCCATTCTCTCTCTCAAATGAATAAATAAAATCTTTAAAAAAAAAAAATGTAAATTCTAACTAATCCCTGCAGAGTAACTAGTAAACTGAATGATGAAACACTGAGGTTGTTTTTTTAACGTTAATTTTAGAAATACCAAAGAAATCTAATGAAATAAGTAAAAACAAAGAAGTTAATTTGAAATATTATTTGGATTTTTCATTGTTTATTTCACAAAAGGGATTATGCAAAATTATCCTAGAATATAAAGTAATGTGGAAGCCAATAATTATTTTCTTGAAGTCCTAAAAATAGACAAAATGGAAATATGACTAAAGTTATTTTTAAAATTTTAGCTTTAACTTCCTTTCAGCATTTTGATAACCATCTGTCTTTTAGTTATGTTTATTGTACTAAAAAGTCTTGAGTTTAATTCTGGACACTTTCTGATTTGATAAAGAGAAAATACCAAAATATGTGTTATTTTTTACATATCTGGCAATGCATATTGATGAAGTAAAATCAAGTAAATGCAAATACTTCTTCATGCATCAAATAAGAGAAATGCATATACTCTTGCTAGCAGTGGTTATGACATGGGAACACTGGGTCGTTTTCTCAGAATACTACTGCATTTTTTGAAAAAAAATTCATAGACCATTTCATGAAGAAACTCAGTGGCAGACACAATTTGTACAATTTATTAAGAAAGAGAAAGAGGGGAGAAGAAGGAATTTAAAGAGCTGCCAACTGTTAAAATGTGAATTAAACATGGTAGTAATACATGGAGGGTTTTTTTTTTAATTTTTGCTTTTTAATGGTTAAAATGTTAACTCTGATGGCTGAGTTTGATTATTATCAATAGACTTCCTTTGCGAACTAATTTCAGAATACAGTATCAGTCTTGAGTTTGTAGTGTCTTTACTTTGTAAATTTTGTTCGACTTCTGTATTTGCTTCATAGAACTTTTGTAAACGATATAAAGCAAGCTAAAGAGTGGCTCTGTCTGACCCAATGAAGAGTAGTTTGTGATGATCCTTGTCGGTCGGCAACTATATGAGTTTTCTAGTGCTGACATAACAAAGCACTATAAACTAGGTGGCTTAAATGACAGAAATTTATCTTCTCACAGCTCTGGAGGCTAGAAGTCCAAGATCAAGGTGTTGGCAGGGTTGGTTTCTTCTGAGGCCTTTCTCCTTGGCTCATAGATGGCGGTAGTCTCCTTGTGTATTTACTTGGTCTTTCTTTAATCAATGTGTATGTCCTAATCTCCTCTTTGTATAAGGAAACCAGGTAGATTGGAGGAAGGCCCACCCCAAGGACTCCTTTTACCTTAATTACCTCTTGAAAGACCCTATATCCAAATACCATCTCATTCTGAGGTACAGGGGGTTAGGACTTTAACATGTGAGCTTTGAGGGGACACAGTTCAGCCCATAACAGCCCTTGAGCCCCTGATCCATGGCACTGTGACCATACCTTACTCTGCAGGTAAATCCTAGGCCTCAGAGAGACCCCGGGAGTACTCAATGCACAGAGGAGTACTGTATATTATAGTCACCGTGACAGGCAGAATCTGTTTATTTATCTCATATTTGCCACTTACAAGTTTAACCCAGATGAAGGGTAGGATTAAAATATATGAATATTTATTAGTCAGAGTCTTAGCGAGTTAAAGCCAAGTGTAAGTGCATTTCTAGGACCTTCTAATAGATTCTTCCCACCCCCTCTTTTCAACCCTTTTGATACATTTACATACTTGATTTAAAAACCAAATCTACATTATTTCTCCAGCCCTACTTTTCATAAATTATAAATTCACCACCCTCTTTGGAATGATGTTATTTTGACTTGATTTATCATTAATTACAAGGTCTTGGGACTTTAAGCAGCTAAGTAAATAGAGTGCCGGATCTCCATAGTGAGTTAATGCTGGCAGAATTGTCTGCATGCATGTGTTCTGACATTTTACTTTATATACATTATACTGCTTTTGGAAAGTATTGTATAAAGAATGATGTTTATGTGATTATATAAGGTGTCTATACATATATATATATGTAAAACAGGTCCATGATCCTATTTGTTAAATCCAATTTGAGCTACTGTTGGTCTGTACTGGGTGAAAGTCCTATTTATCACTATGTGAAATACAGAATTGTTCATAATGCAATGATCCCTGCTTTGACACAGTAATTATTTTATAATACTTAAAAAAATTTATTTGGTAACCTATTTGTATGAGAAATAAAACCTACAAGCATTTGCCTCTCACCATCAACTAGATACAGAAGCAATAGTTACATACAGGAAGTTAGAACTCTTAAAATTACTACGGGGTTCTCTTCTCGTTTTCAACCTGTGTTATAGAGCATCTGGGAATAGATTTTGTCTCGAGAGTCACATATTCCCAAGATTTTATGTGCTTTTATAATAGTGGTAATCATCAGCTTTGGTAATCTGATGAACCCAGACATTTTATGATTTGTTGGTCGTGGCAGTTACTTTCTGCCCGCTTGATAATCTGTGTTTGCAATTTGGGGTTGAAGTCTATAGCAAGGAGATAGTGCGGAAACGAGCCTGCAGGCCCTCACTCCATCTGCCGCCAGGTATGTTCTGAATTAGATTTTTCTCCTTTCGTTGCCAGTCCCAGCCTCAGCCTGAACTTAGAACTGCTCTGCCTCTTGGGTCACTTGGCTTTAAGCCCCTCAGTACAGTCTGTTTTTTTAACTATCTCTTTTTGGTTATTTTTAATAAACAAGTAGCAGAGGAAGGAGGACTCTCATGATAGTACCTTTTTTTTAAGTATTGGGTTGTTGTTTTTTTTCTTAAATACATTAAAGTGGTAAAGAGGAAAAACCAGGCACAATGACAATGGTAATATATGTTGTAAGGCAAAAAAAAAAAAAAAATTGTGATTTTATAAAATCAGGCGAAAATTATTGCCTTTGGCTGTACTTTGGTTACCATTTTAGGTAATGTTTAGAGGCTATTTATATGAAACTAGAACATGATGAGCCATGAGAACGAACAACAACAAAAAAATGCAAGTAAAAGTTGGACCGCTTTTAATAATGGAGTCCTAACTAAAATAGCTGGTAAGAAGACGGTACCTCAAGCTCTCTGCTTTCAAAGACCAATACGATGAATTCTAATGCCTTTTTTAGTATATAATGTCAAAAGACTATTAGTTTAAAAAAGACCTACACCTATTTATGGAACAAAAATGATTAATTCTTGGGGATCCTGGTGGCTCAGTCAGTCAAGCATCTGACTCTTTGTTTCAGCTCAGGTTGTGATCTGGAGGTGGTGTTATTGAGCCCCCATGGGGCTCTGTGCTGAGTGCAGAGTCTGCATTCTCTCTCCCCCTGCCCCTCCCCCACTCTCCCACTCTCTCCGTCTCTCAGATAAATAAATAAAATCTTAAATAAAAAAAGAACTCCTAAGGCATAATTTTAATACTCAAGAATTTCTCATGCTGGTATATGTAAATGACAGTGGAGCATTGTCAGTAATAGTAAACTATATGGAAACAACCTAAATATTCCTCTGTGAGGATTGGCTAAATAAATAATGATATATTCATTCAACAGAGCATTATACAAACTTTTCAAAAAAAGAGCAGAGCTGTATGTACATATAGGGAGATGTATACAACTACACAGGTGAAAAAAAATGCAATTCTACCTATGTCAATAAGAGAGGAAAGTGCATATTTGTGTGTGGTACTTTTCAGCAGACCTCCACATAAGGGTGGGCAGAGAGGCACTATACAGCCCTAGGGGTGGCCATTTTATATAGTCCCTGATGCAAATGATGATCCCTGGATTTATGCAGCTTGGTAGGCCTGATTTGTGTGTATAAACCATTTCTGGAATGATCTATAGAAAAATATTCAAACTGATTACCTCCACATTATCAATATTGAGGATTTGAAATGGAGAGGGAAAGACATGAAGGGTTGTATTTTCAAGTTCTTACGTACTTTTGGTTTATTTTTAGCATGTAAATGTGGTTTTTTTTGTTGAAAATGTTAATTTTTTGCTCCTAAGCATTTAACACGTGTTTTATAAATGCTTTTTAGTTGACTTATTCTATCACCTAGATATTGCTCTCCAAATATGAAAACATTACCATTTTTGAAGTCATGACTGAAAAAACCATGCTGATAATTCCCAACTCTCAGTATCTCTGGGTCTTGACCTCTCTTGAAACTCAGATTTTATGTACAGAAACCTGTTGGACATCTCTGTCTAGGCGCCTCCTCTCCACTTTTCTAAAACTGAACTGATACTCTTCCTCTGCAGGCCATCCATCTCTTCCTCATCCCCTCCTTCCTTATTTTCAGTGAAGTTTCTCTCATCTGCCTAGTCAACTATAGCAAAATTCCTAAAAGTCATCTTAGAATCTTTCCTTTCCTTCCTCTACTATATTCCATTGATCATTAAATAATATTGATTTTTCTTCCTTAAGATCTCTCAAATACATCGCCTCATCTGAACAGCCACCGATACAGTTCCATCCCCTATCATTACTTATCTGAGCTATAACAATAACCTCTTGCCCTCCTGGATTCAAGCCTTTCCTTTTAATTCATCCTCCATACTAAAGGCAAAACAAACTAAAGCTGAAATCTCTTCATATTCTTCTACTAAGTTACCAACTATTATTAGGATATCTATTTCTGCCCCCTGGAATGTACATAGGAGTCAAGGATAGCACCCCTTAAAGAAAATAAATTTTTTAGATATCAAATTTTTACCTACTTTTATCCTTAAGTATGTCTATAAGAAGTTGAAATATATGTAATGTCCAGTTAATATAGATATATATGTGTGTGTTATATATATAATTATATATATATACATTAACATATATATAATGTATAATGAAAGATAGATAGATGACACTAACTTATATTTATACCAGAGATTATCTGATTTTATTTTATTTATTTATTTTTTTAAGATTTTATTTATTTGACAGAGAGAGACACAGCAAGAGAGGGAACACAAGCAGGGAGAGTGGGAGAGGGAGAAGCAGGCTTCCCGCTGAGCAGGGAGCCCGATGCGGGGCTCGATCCCAGGACCCAGGCGCCCCAGATTATCTGATTTTAAAACTCTGGGTGCAGAGACCCCATCAATTAATGGTAGATTATAAACACAAAATAGAATGAAATGGTATAAAGAATACTGAACCAGAGATTAAGAATCTAAGGGCATTGGTCCTGGTTCTGATCATATCTCGATTTGAGATTGAAAAATAACTTAAGGTCTATGTGTTTGAGTTTCCCTTCTTACAGAACGAGAAGGGATTTAGGCTAGATTAGAGGTGGCAAATAGGTCTCAACTCAGGTGCCAACCTCCTTCAATTTGAAGTGGTTGCCTGAAGAGTACGGGTATGCATTTGGGACCATCAACATTATGCCGAAATCAATTAAGAAGGTCTGTCAGGGTTGGGGGAGAGAAAGTGATAGCATATATGCCCATATTAGCTATCCCAAGAGTAGATAACCTTTAAGTCCCGGCTCTAGGATTCAATATTTTTCTGCCATATAACAATGAGAATACATTGAAATTGTTGATCCTCTTTGTTCCTTGGTTACCTTCAACTGTTCCAGTTCCTTTAAGATATATTAGCTCACAACTGAATGTGACTCCAATGCTAATATTAATATTTAAAAATTTCATAAGAGGCAGACTTTTACAGTATTTTCAATATTTCTTTCTAGATCTTCCACCTCCTCCCGTGCCACCACCTGCTATAAAGTCACCCACTGTCCAGTCCAAGGCACAGCTGGAGGTGCGACCTGTAATCGTGCCAAAACTCCCTTCTATAGAAGCAAGAACAGACAGATCATCAGATAGAAAAGTAGGCAGTTACAAGGGGAGAGAAGTATTGGATGGAAGACAAGTTGCTGATATGAGAACCAATCTGGGTGATACCAGAGAAGCACAGGAACAGCAAAATGATGGCAAAGGACGAGGAAATAAGGCAGCAAAACGAGACCTTCCACCAGCAAAGACTCACCTCATCCAAGGTACTCATTTATTCAAAGAGCAAATAAATACAGATAGAACATATGTTTGCAAGTTGCACTGTTAGGTTCTCTTAGGCCATATGAAAAGTGATAAGATTTAGAAATTTACTCTCTAATGGAGGAGACAAGCATGCACTCAAATAATTTTAATATAATTAAATTAAATATGTAACATTATATAAGACTTCCTTGGACAGTGCCAGTTGAGTTGGGTTTTAAAGGAAAGCATGATTCTAACAGGTTAAACAGAGAAAAGGGGATAGCAGGTAAAGGAAGTAGGTGGGAAAAAAAAGTGTGGATGTAAAAACAAATGTTTGGTGAACATTGATTCCTAGTTTGGCCAGACACAATAGTGAAAGATAAAACTAGAAAGGTCATTGGGCCAGACTGGGAAGTCTGGGAATAGGATCTAGAGTGTGGGATTTATGATATAGGCAGTGGTAAGCCAGGAAAGAATTTTGGACAAGAAATGACAGAATCAGATTTTTAGAAAAATAACTGGCAGCACTCTATGTGAAGGAAGAGGCATCGGACTTGTGTAGATGAAGGTACCAGATCATTGTAAAATATCTAGGTATAAACTATGAAAACACTGAATTAAAATAGTTGTGTGGAAAAAGGAGAAAACAGCCTACATTAGCATTTCAGAGAGAGAACCAGTGGTGACTAATCGAAAGTAGAAAAATAGAATGAAATTATGGGGGCGCCTGGGTGGCTCAGTCGTTAAGCGTCTGCCTTCGGCTCAGGTCATGATCCCAGGGTCCTGGGATCGAG